CGTGGGGTTGCCAGGAGCCTGCCTCAGCCAACTGTGCTGCCACCAAGGGGCTTGTTGGCCCACACGGGCTCTGAGGGGAACCTCACCCTGTCCAAAAGCCAAGCAGGCCACCCATCCCTCGGCACCCCCATCAAACAGCCTGCCGGGGCCAGGCGGATCAAGCATTCTTGGCCCCCTTCATGTGTTCAGATCAGGGGAGCGGGGTGTCCGCTCTGGGACATGTGTGTGGCTCCCTCAACGTGATGGGGAATGTGGGGCTAGCTTAGGGCAGAGTCACTGGCCTCTTGAGGTGTCAGGAAAGGGAGGACTCAGAATGGGGGGGCTATGAAGCAAAGCCCCTCACCAAGACAGAGAAGGTGGGGCCAGCTCTGGGCACGAGGCCTGGCCCCCTCAGCATGCCAGAGAGCAGCGGGGATGCTGCAGCGGGGAGTCGAACTAGGAGTGATGAGACCACGTGAGCACTAGGGCCTGACTTTCTCCAGCCTCCTCTTCCAGAGCAGGGGAAAGAAGCCCGGGAGCGAGTCTCCCACCAATATTTATTGGCAGGTCTCTGATCTCGACTGGTGCCAGGATGCCGCTGAGGCAGATTGGATCTGACGGGGGGAGAGCGGGGGTTTAACAGGCTCTGCTGCAAATTCCTCCTGATGCTTTATGGAACTGAGGCCTCGGCTCCATCGATCGGAAGGAAAGAGCCGCATCCAATCAGGATTCCTCGCTGGCTCCTGCTGTGGTTTTGGCCCCAGCCTGTCCCTCCCATTTTCTCCCCCAGCCCTGTCTGCATCTCTTCTTCCCAGGCCACTCTGCCTTCCACACCCAATCGCTGCCTCTCGCCCCCTCTTCTGCCTGTGCTCTCTCGGAACAGTGCGGAGCCTTAAAAGTAAGGGGGCTCTGGCCCCCCCTCGCTGCAAGCTGGATGCATGAACTACAGGAGTGCTCAATGGTGCTTGTTAAGCAAGAGCATCCCTTCCGTCTCTCCTCCCCTCACCCTTCCCTCTTCCACCCCTCCTGAACCTCCC